GAGTGCCGTACGTGCAGGTCCGAACCTGTTGATGGCCGGCCAAGTGAGCGAGTGGGTAGCGGGGAGGGAGGAGGGGGGCGGGGGGAGAGAAGGCACGGCGCAGGCGCAGGGAGCAGCGTAACCATGGCGACCGTTACTTTGGAGTCATTTCACCAACTGTCGTTTTTCCACGTAGATCAACGGAACGCAATCCAGAACGGAATAAGTTCCATTTAACCCACCCTTAAAAAGAGAAAATAATTATTTTTCATTTGGCCCGCCTTAACTGTACCAATCTTTTAAATAAAAAGTGTTTTAGTAGCTCAGTCGACTAGGCTCGACTCTAAAATGTATGTTTCCAGCAAAACTCAAAATACTTATGTTCGTGAAATTTAAAATGCATGATAAAATAAAGGAAATGACAGACGCGAATTCATTGGGAAACACCAGTTTGGATCAGGGATAATTGTGTTAGGCAGGTTGTAGGCAGCGCATCAGCAATGTCAAGTGGAGGGGGGAGGGAATGACCAACCCGACCAACCCTACACTGTTCAATTTTTTTTTCTAACAAAAATATATTATTTTTTTTTAAATTGACGTTAAACTTGTAATTTTGGTTGAAACTGTTATTTCCCGTCCCTCGCCCTACACTTTGCAATGAAAATGTTTCACTTCTTAATTATGTTATTGACAGTTTTAAACTTTTGTTAAATTTTAGATTTGTTTTCAGAAATTCAAACCAACCATTCGTTTGATCCTTTTAAAATCCGTCACAAAAGTTGTACCAGTAAAATGTGCAGCATAAGACATGTCCCAAAACTGAGGCATCGAGGATTTGCGCTGGTCATCATCGGCCGATATTGTTACTCCCTGTTGACAAATTTTGCCTAATTTTGGTACAGAGTCTTCTTTTGACTCCCTGAACCGATTTACAAAAGTTGAACTCTATACTTCCAGTCGTTCTCGAGTAATACCAAAAGTGCAACTTTTGATTTCAGCCCATTGCCTTGGTTGGGCGGTAGGATCTACCCCGGCTTGCAAGCCGCATCTCATGCTTTTCCTAAATTCGTGTTTTTCCGGCCCTCGGGTCGTTATCGGGGATTGAGGGGCGGTTAAACACGACTCTCATTGCACGAGACAAGCTTTCGTCGAAGGGCGATTTCATCAACTTAATTTTGATAGGAATTTTCGGTAAATATCATTTCGTCTGTTTGAACCAGCCGGGAGAGCGCCGCCAAAACACTGGCCTCTCTGATTGGCTGGAGCTCCGTGACGTCATGGCGTCATGGCCACCGTTCGTTTCAATGTGGTATGGGAGGTTAGATGCATTGGCACTCAAGAAATTACTGGTGAATAATATTCATAGTTCGCGCTGTCACTATCCAAATCCTTAATGGAATTTGTGCGCTGAATTTTGACAAGCAGAGGGAAACTTCAGTGAGGGGTTATGGCCGAGGACCCGAACCGTAGAAAGCGATGGTACAGGAGACAAGCGAGAGACAAAGAATTTCGTTTTCAAAATAAATCTTCAGACTCAGAAAGCCCAGGTATGTCTTTGTGAGCACTGTAAAATCAGTATTTCTCATGACACTGTTTTTCTTTTAAAAAAAAAATATTACTAAATCTCTTTATTCTACATTATTATTTGCTTTAAATATTCTGCTTAGCAGTGGCCATCTGATTTATTTTCTACTTGTATGTACATTTTTACTTTTAGGTTTGTCTGAAGGATGCTCTCCCAAGAGAGCCTGTAACAATCAGAGTTCTTCGCAGTCTGATCATAATCATAGCAGCTCTCCAGAAAGTAATACCTCATCGCGTGGAAACCATGAAGAAAACGATGGAGGTATGTTGCTTGGAAAATTGGTACATTCTGTCTGTGAAGTTGTCATAGTTCAGTTTATAATTGGCCTTTGATAAGAAGGTTGTGATGTTCAAATTCAGAACTGGGTAATTAATGTTAATTGTTGTCATTAATACCCCTTGAGCTCTCAAGGAAATAGTTCTAACCGAAGTATCCGAGTTATCTTGACGGTAACCTGGCCTATATTATTTTGGAACTCAACATGTTCCTGACAGCAAAATGTCTCTGGATAAATAATATACTTGCACTTTAGCCTCATTTCTATTTGTCATATAACTCAGAAGGATGAATAGAACATAATGACAGCTTTGTTAAGTTTAATATTATTTATCACCTCTTACAGCCAGCTGCTTTTAAATAAATGCTCTGTTTGTTTTTAGGTGGGAATACAGAATCAGATATAGGACTTGATGAATTTGCAGAGCAACTTCAGGACGGTAGCCGCTCACCAGGTAAGTTAGATTTTTTATTCCTTGTAATGCAGCTATGGCTGTAAAATGTATAAGCTTAAAATATTTTGTTTTCATTTTGTTTCTGTTATTTTTAACAGTTGGGAGAAATGTTGGAAATGAGTTTGATCCAACTGAGATTGTACAGGAAGGTCCAATTAATGGAAATCTTCCTGATGATATGAACAATGGTTTGTTTTTATTTAAATTTTTTATCTTTTATTTTCATCTTTGACCGAACAGAAAACTTTCAAATTTTAACCTTTTTTTCCGAAGTGGCCCAGAAAGCTAAGATTTATATTTTATTGTTGCAGAAGCTGGAAATTCTCCACGTAATGTTAGACCTCTTCGACCTGATTCTGGATCACCAGAAAGGGATTCGGAACCCAGCCAATCACCCAACAATAATGAATCTGAGTCAGGCAGTTCGCATTCTGTTGGAAGAGAAGGTGATGAAGACAATAGAGAAGATGGGGAAGAGGAAGGAGTAGAAGGAAATGTGGAAGAGGACAGAGAGTGGGGAGGGGGAGGGGAAGGTGGTGGAGGTGGAGGAGACAGTGGAGGAGACAGTGAGAGTGAAAGTGCAAGAGAAAATGAAGATAGTGAAAATGAAGATAGTGAACATCAAGAAAGTGAAAATCAAGAAAGTGACACAGATGAAGAAGGTTTTGAGCATGACAATGAACCAATCTACAATGGTGCTCGATTAACTTTCAGGGAAAGCATGCTTGCCATATTAACTTTTATTTTAAGTCACAAACTGACTGGACTTTGTGTAAGTGACTTACTATCTCTTATAGAGTTACACTGTGGTGCAAACAATTTATGTCTTACCACACTCTACAAGTTCAAAAAGTACTTCAAGATTATAGGCAAAAGATTAATAACATGTCACTATTATTGCTCTGTTTGTGAAGTACCGTTAGTGGATAAGAATACAGTTTGCAGAAATTGTAGAGGACGGCACAAAGTAGATTATTTCATTGAACTTCCTATTGTAGCCCAACTTCAGAGCATGTTAAAGAGGCAGGGTTTCTATGAATCTTTGCAGTTTAGATTTAACAGACAAAAGAAGTCTGTAGAAAACATGGAGGACATTTATGATGGCATAGAATATCAGCGACTGTTTCGTTCTGGTTTCCTATCAAATCCCAATAACTTGAGCTTTTTCATGTATTTTGATGGCATGTCATTATTTAGGACTTCGTCTCTTCAAATTTGGCCAATTTTTCTAACGATAAATGAATTGAGGTATGTAGAAAGAACTAAGAAAGAAAATGTAATTTTAGCTGGTATTTGGTTTGGTAAATCAAAGCCCAACCCTAGTCTGTTTCTCAAACCAATATCTGACTCTCTAAAAAATCTAGAGGAGAATGGGGTTCAGATGGTGCTACCAAATGGACAGCATATCTCAATGAAAGCTAAACTTATTGGTGCGACAGCTGATATGCCAGCAAAATCACTTTTCATGCGATTTATTCAATTCAATGGGGCTTTCTCCTGTTTTAGCTGTATGTCACAGGGTGGTCGCTTTGATTTGGGCAATACTACAGTTCAAGTGTTTCCTTATTCAAGAAATTTTGAACTGAGAAACAATGATGACATACCCAATTATGCAGAACAGGCCCTTGTAGCAAGGCAAGTTGATAATGATGCAAGTGTCTATGGTATTAAAGGTCCATCTTTGTTATTTTCCATGTTACCAAATATGATATCTTGCATGGCCATTGATATTATGCATGGGGGATTTCTAGGAGTCATGAAAACTTTGATGAATCTATGGTTTGATACACAGTATTTAAGATTTGAATTCAACATATCAGCTTTAGTTCATGTGGTAGATGCCAGGTTAAAATTGATCAAACCTCCATTTTCTTTTAATAGAGTACTTAAGAGTATAAAAAAAGAACTCTCTCATTTTAATGCATATGACTACAAAATGTTTTTGTTTAATTATTCATTACCAGTTCTATTGGATATTTTACCCTTAAGATATTGGCATCACCACTGCCATCTTGTGACTGCTTTTGCTCTTTTAAGTCAAAATAGTATTTCAACAGAAGAAATAGACCAGGCCGAAGAATTGCTTCATACATATGTATCTGATTTCCAAGACTTGTATGGAATAAGGCATCTATCTCTGACATTTCATCAACTTTTACATATGGCAAAGTGCGTCAGAAATTTAGGCCCATCCTGGGTATATTCATGTTTCTTTTATGAAAGCTTGAATGGTCAATTTGGCAGACTTGTCCATGGTAGTAGACATGTAGCATTGCAAATTAGTTCATCATGCTCTGTTTTAATGAATTTACCCACTATGCTAAATGCTATGACTGCTGGGGAAGCCAAAACATTATGTCAGAAATTTGACAAATCATTAAAACAGCACGTGCAAATTACTGAAATAATTGATGACAATACAGGGGTTGTTGGTAAGTTGACAATATTTTATCCACTGCCAATACTCATAAGAAATCTACTAAGAAACCTCGACATTATTGGTGGACGGTACAAACAATTCTCAAAGCTTAAAATAAAAAATACTATTTATTGTACTGAATCTTATGTTCGTTCTAGCCAAAGGCGATCTTGTTTCGCAGAAATTATTCATGGTGACACTCCATATTTATGTAAAATTAATAACTTTATTAGGTGGTCATCTTGTCGATATAATTGTCCAGTTGGATGTCAAGATTGTCCTATGAGGTATGTGTGCATTGTCTCTCTCTATGAACGACAGCTTTGGGAGATACACAATGCAACCAATAACTTATTAAGTGTTTTTAATGTACATAAAGTCTCAGCCACTAATGAAAAGCGAGCTTTTCCCATTGAGTCAATAAGTTCTGTGTGTCTTTACATGCCAATAGATGGTAAAGAATATCTTAGCCTTCCAGTCAACACATTAGAGATAGAATAGTTTCCTGAGAATTAAAAATTGTCTATCTCAGTCTTTGGTGTGACTTCTCAGCATGTATATATGCTATGAAACTACAAAAAAATTTATGTACACCATCTTGCATAGAAGCAAAAAATAAAAACAAATTTTGAATTTATTAACAGTATTTGTTAATCCAGCCACCTTTTTAACACAAAAATAAAATTAAAAACTTTTCAAACTAGGTACTGAAATGAAAGCTCCACTTATGGTGCATAAGCAAATCATAATACGCCTAATCCTACCCAATCTGCACAATAACTCTCCCACTCCATCTCAACCGCACAGCTCCAGCCTCATACGGACCGTGGCCCGCCCCAGCTCCTGGCCAACCTCATGTGCGCCGAGCT